TGGAAGAAAATATTTGCAAATGACACATCAGATAAAGGGCTAGTATCCAAAATCTATAAAGAACTTATCAAACTCAACACCCAAAGAACAAATAATCCAATCAAGAAATGGGCAGAAGACATGAACAGACATTTTTCCAAAGACGACATCCAAATGGCCAACAGACACATGAAAAAGTGCTCAACATCGCTCGGCATCAGGGAAATCCAAATCAAAACCTCCATGAGATACCACCTCACACCAGTCAGAATGGCTAAAATTAACAAGTCAGGAAATGACAGATGTTGGTGGGGATGTGGAGAAAGGGGAACCCTCCTACACTGTTGGTGGGAATGCAAGCTGGTGCAGCCACTCTGGAAAACAGTATGGAGGTTCCTCAAACAGTTGAAAATAGAGCTACCATACGATCCAGCAATTGCACTACTGGGTATTTACCACAAAGATACAAATGTAGGGATCCGGAGGGGTACGTGCACCCAATGTTTATAGCAGCAATGTCCACAAGAGCCAAACTGTGGAAAGAGCCAAGATGTCCATCGACAGATGAATGGATAAAGAAGAGGTGGTATATATACACAATGGAATATTATGCAGCCATCAAAAGGAATGAGATCTTGCCATTTGCAATGACGCGGATGGAACTGGAGGGTGTTATGCTCAGTGAAATAAGTCAATCAGAGAAAGACATGTATCATATGACCTTACTGATATGAGGAATTCTTAATCTCAGGAAACAAACTGAGGGTTGCTGGAGTGGTGGGGGGTGGGAGGGATTGGGTGGCTGGGTGATAGACATTGGGGAGGGTATGTGCTATGGTTGGCATTGTGAATTGTACAAGACTGATGAATCACGGATCTGTACTTCTGAAACAAATAATGCAATATATGTTAAGAAAAAAAAAAAGAAGATAGCAGGAGGGGAAGTATGAAGGTGAGTAAGTCGGAGGGGGAGACGAACCATGAGAGAAGATGGACTCTGGAAAACAAACTGAGGGTTCTAGAGGGGAGGGGGTGGGGGGATGGATTAGCTTGGTGATGGGTATTAAAGAGGGCACATTCTGCGTGGAGCACTGGGTGTTATGCACAAACAATGAATCATGGAACACTACATCAAAAACTAATGATGTAATGTATGGTGTTTAACATAACAATAAAAAAGTATTAAAAAAAAGATTACCTAGAGCGATCTACAGATTCAACGCAACCCAAATGGAAAACTTGATGTATTTTAAAGAAATAAAAAAATCCACCCTAAGATTCCCATGGTATCTCAAGAAACCCTGAATGGCTACAACAATCTTGAAAAAGAACGAAACTGGAGAATGCATGCTTTCAAAACCTACTACAAAGGTATGAGAATTAAAACAATGAGACAATGACATAGAGACATACAGTACAATGGACTAGAATGAAAGGCCCAGAATTAAACACTCACATAAAGTCAAATGATTTTTGACAAGTGTGCCAAGACTATTCAATTAGGAAAGAACAATCTTTTCAAACAAATGGTGCTAAGAAAATTGGATATCAATGCAAAACGTGGAAAAGAATAAAACTGGACCCATATCTTATGTTACATACAAAAATTAACTCCAAATCGATCAAAGACCTAAACTAAGAGCTGAAACTATAAAACTCTTAGAAGAAAACATAGGAGAAAAGCTCCCTATCAGATTTGGCAATGATTTCTTAGGACACCAAAAGCACAGGCAACAAAGGGAAAAAAACAGATAAAATGGACTTCATCAAAATTAAAAACTTTTGTGCATCAAAGGGCTCAATCAAGCAAGTGAAAAGGTAACATGAAGATGGTACAAAATTTCTGCAAACAATATATCTGTTCAGGTATGCAGAATTTATAAAGAATGCCTACAACTCAACAATAAAAAAAAACCCAACTAAAAAGTGGGCAAAAAAAGTTAGATATTTCTCCAAAGATACAGAGATAGCCAATAAGCCATGAAAAAATGTTCAACATTACAAATCATTAAAGGAAATGTAAATCAACACTACAAAGAGCTACTACTTTACACCTATTAGAAGTCAGCTATTATTTAAAGAAAAAAAAGTTGGCGAGAATGTGGAGAAATCAGAACCCATGTTCGCTGCTGACAGAAATGTACAAGAATGTAGCAACTATGGAAAACAGTATAGTAGTTAAACATAAAATTGCCAAATGAAAATTGGTAAAAATCTGGGGTGCCTGGGTGGCTCAGTCAGTTAAGCATCCAACTCTTGATTTAGGCTCAGGTCATGATCTCAGGGTCATGAGATCAAACCCTGCACTGGGCTCTACAATGGGTGTGGAACCTGCTTAATATTCTCTCTCCCTCTCCCCCTGCTCCTCCACTCTCCACACTGCCCCTCATACCCCACCAGCTTGGGTGTGTCTGTCTCTCTCAAAAACAAACACTCTCTTCTTTTTTATTTTTTTTAAAGATTTTATTTATTTGACAGCAAGAGACACAGCGAGAGAGGGAACACCAGCAGGGGGAGTGTGAGAGGGAGAAGCAGGCTTCCCGCTGAGCAGGGAGCTGGATGCAGAGCTCGATCCCAGGACCCTGGGATCATGACCTGAGCCAAAGGCAGCCGCTTAACCGACTGAGCCACCCAGGCGCCCCCAAACACTCTCTTCTTAAAAAGAAAAGAAAATTGGTAAAAATTTAACAAAATAATTAAATATAAAATACCACAGGATCCAACAATTCCACTTATGAGTATATACCCAAAGTATTGAGAACAAAGCCTCAAAGAGATTATTTGTACACGAATGTTCATAGCAGCATTATTCCACAATAGCCAAAAAGGAGTAACAACTCAAATGTCCATCAACATTTGGATGGATAAACAAAATGTAGTTGTTATAAATATAATGAAATATTATTTAGCTTTAAAAAGAAATGAGATTCTGATACATGCTACAACATGGATGAACCCTGTAGTGAACTTTGTCAGACACAAAAGGGCAAATATTACATGATTCTACTTAAAGGTATCTACAATAGTCAAAGTCATGGACAAATTAGAACGGTTGCCAGCAGTTAGGGGGAGGGAAAAATGGGGAGTGTTTAATAGATATAGTTTCAGTTTGCAAAGATGAAAAAATTCTGGAGATGGATAGTGGTGATGGCTGCCTGACAATGTGAATGTACTTAATCCCTCTACACTGCACATTTAAAAATTATTAAAATGGTAAATTCTATGTTATGCGTATTTTGCCACAATTAAAAAAAACGATTAAAAAGGAATAAAAATAGAATTTTTTATGGGCCAAATGCAGAACTATGGTATGGTGGTAGCAATAAGACACTTAAACACAAAAGTAGTTCAAAATTACATAGTAAAAAATAATGTTTGGGCTGAACCATACAGGGATGAGAATACAGGGCCATTCCACTGGGGAGGAGGGGTAAGATTAAGAATCAAGGAAAGAGAGTAAGGGAAGCTGGTGAGATGACTGACCCTAAAGAGTCTCATAGCCCCAAATGGATCTGCTTTGTAAGTTACAAACAGAGTAAACCTTCATTGAACACTTGCTATTTGTCAGTCACTGTTCTAAGCACTTTATATGCATTACCTTGTGTTTTAACAAAATTGGCCTTGGTGACTCTGCCTCCAACCAAATTTCTGCTCCTCTTAATTACATGAAAAGGTTAACTTGATATTCAAATAATATAAATAGTTCTGGCTATGGCCTGAATTTCTGAAACCAACTGTTTTTAAACATTTAAGAAGGGGGGTTTTTTAGTTATATGGTTAAATTCACTTCCCCTCAATAGCATCTCTCCAATATCTTACCACATGCATACATAAATGCATAAAAAGTGCATTTAAATACTAGGAGGATGAGTAGATAATCATATTCTTTAACCATTGGTTGTCCAACCTTACATTTAGTGTGTGTTTTACTTTATAGTCCTTCTCCCATCCCCAACTCCTATCTCTACTGCGAAATAACATTTTATTGGGTTTTTTTGGATTATAAAAAAAGATATATGCTAGCATTTAAAAATATATACAAAATGTAAAAACACCTAAAAGTCACCCCAAGTGGCTATTTATTTGCATTAACAAAGTATGAATTACTCACAGATGGTGCAAATTAAGCAATATAAATGATACACTAACATTTCAACCTAAATTTTTTTGCTAACTGGAAATACTTTAATATTTTTAGTATTAAAGATTCTTCAATCCTAATGTTGAAATGTAAATAAGCTAACAACTGATTCTTACCAACTTCATGAATAGTTTTAGTTGTAGTTTTTAGTAGTATCTGCATGCGTCAATTTTTAAACTTTACACTTAAAATTACCATCTAGGGGTGCCTGGATGGCTCAGTCAGTTAAGTGTCCGACTCTTAATTTTGGCTTGGGTCATGATCTCAGGGTGGTGAGATCAAGCCCTGCATCAGGCTCCACACTGGGCAGGAAGCCTGCTGAAGACGTTCTCTCCCCATCTGCCCCTCCCCCACTTAAAAAAATTATCATCCAGAACTATAGATTTTTGCAAAATGTCTTCTATCAAGGCTAATTTACTGCCTTTCAATAGTCAAAGTGCTTTCGGGAATGTGGAAAAGTACAATTCAGATTTCATTCCTTTTGTTAATGTAAAATTATTAACAACTATAAAACTCTTTCATATAGGCAAGTCAGCCCTGTATAGAGCAGAACAGCCAGCCATGAAAGCCATGCAAACAATCTAACTTGGAGATTTCTATAAGAAATCTATCAGTGCTGAAAATGCCTCCCATCAGAATCATCCCTTTAGGTTACTACATTATTTTCAGAGCACATCTGTTAAAATGTAAATGTTCACTAGGAAGGAATAATTACTATATATATAAAAAAGAAACGGTTCATAACTTTTTTAAATTTGAGCATAGTTCACTCATTAAAAATTAACTGGTAGTTAAGTCCACTCTTTCAAGGAAAATAGGTAATATAAAGATCAAGTACTAAAGGGCTTATATATTCAAAGTAATGACACTTATGACTTACCTCTAAAATCTGACTAGCTCTAGGTAGTGGGTGCCCATCAGACTGGACCACTGTTATCTGAATAGGAGACTGTGAGAGAATGCTGGAAGAGCTACCACAAGTCTAAAAACAAAGAGAAAACACAGGTACTTTTTCTCTGGATAATATTAAACACAGGCAAAATTTAAAGGTCGCTAAAACACTACCTAGGGGACACCTGGTGTGTACTTATGCTTGCAAGTAATCACTTATGTTCGATATAACCTTGTGGCAGATACCACATGGTCAGCGGTAGAGTTTCGTGGTCATCTAAAAAATTGCAGAGCTCTTTTACAAGAGCCTAAACGAGGTGCCTCAGGCCTCTACACTCACGTACATAGTAAGATAATTTACAGAATGCCAAACAGAGACCAGATGAGGTCATAATTAAATTCAAAATAACATTGTTTTACAGTAACATATGAAAAATAATTTTTAAAAAGCTTTATGATATGAACATGGCTTAGCATTTTAAAAAGTAAAATTAAGATGTCTTATATTCCAGGGGTGCATGGGTGGCTCAGATGGTTGGGCATCTGCCTTCAGCTCAGGTCATGATTCCAGGGTCCTGGGATCAAACCCCATGTCTGGCTCCTGGCTCTGTAGGGAGCCTGCTTCTCCCTCTCCCTCTGCTTCTCCCCCTGCTCATGCTCTATCTCTGGGTCTTGAATGAATAAATAAAATCTTTAAGAAAAAAAAAAAAAGATGTCTTATATTCCACAAATGCTTCATTTTGATACTCTTACCTTAGATTGGTCAAGAATTTGAAATTTTTCCCATACTATTTTATCACTTTCAAATTTTTTCCACGGATTGTTCCGTTTTTCAGAAGCTTCTTTTTCTTTCTTCTTTAAAGCAACCTGTTCATCTGTAAATAATGTCCTTTTTAAAAAAATGTACAAAAACTGTAAAAAAAAAATCATGTAAACAAATCATGACCTTAAAGAGTGCAGAATCCAACACAGAGCTAATCAAAATTGTTTTTTAGGGAGGTTAACTCACAAGACAAAGAAGAATTTTAAGAGATAAGGAATAAAACATTTAACCAGAACCAAACTTAAGTATGGCACAAATGGATATAAAATGTTTATTATAATTAGCAATAAAAATCAAATTTTTCAGAATATATTTTATATTATGCAAATTATTATGAGGTTCTACTGTCCTGTAATGTTCATTCAATTATAATAAGAGACTGAAAAGATAAACCTCTGGATTCAGAGAAACCTAGAATCAAATACAAGTTCAACCACTTCCTATCTATGTAACTGTGGGCAAATTGCTGTTCACCTTCCTAAAACTCAGTTTCTTCGTCTGTAAAATAAGAATAGTGTCTATTTCAGTACAGGGCCTAGCACAAAGTAAATATGTCATAAATGTCAGCCACTATTATTCATAACTGCTGAAGAGTAAAAAAACAAAATCTTTTGTCTAACAAACTGATATAAAAACTAGGCCCCAAATCAACAGTTCTTAAAAATTCAGATTTGTATAAACTTAAATTTCAAGAATATTAATGAAAGCATGACTTCAACAAAGATAGATGTGCTTTTTTTTAACAGGATCAAATAAAAGAAAGTAATCTTTTTAGATAATACAGCATAAAACACTTCAATCATTTCCAAGTAGTTCCAACTTCAGAAGTTTGGTATTACAGCTTGATAAGCAAAATTTGAATTGAAAGAAAATATTTAAAACTGAAAGTGTGATATACACACATCAAATCTCCAAACCTTCAGATACTGCTACCATACATTTAATTTCTTCAAACTTTTGTTACCTTTACTTCCAACATCAATTCATTCCCAATTTCTTCTGCTTATCTCTTTTTTCTATCACCTGTCTAAGCAGCGTTATGACTGCCTCACAGGACTTCCTAGTTGAGTGGAGGGTGAAGCCCATCTTTATGCTTTTAGTACAGCTATTCTTAAGTACAACTGCTACTTCACATATTTTCCAAATTCTGACACCTAGACCATTAAGTCTAGTCCAAGAAGAAGAGTTTCTTAGTTACTATCAATATTTTAAGACCTTAACAGAAATGATAAATTTTTGTTATAAGGTCTATAGGCTGATAAAAAGCAGTAAGTTTTTGTATGGAATATACTTACTGATACCATATTGATTCTTGATCAGAATGTTTTATTTTAAAGAATGAACTCTATTTTTAAATAAAACCACCTTTAAATCCATAGGATTTCTATAATGGAAAAATATGAAAATGGATTCTCAGGAAATGAGAAAAGTTCAGGAATCTTTGAGCTCCAGAATATACTGATGACATTAATGCTTACTGCTCACCTCTGGTCTTCCTGTACACAGAGACTACCAGACAAAAAGACACAACCTAAAGAAATATAAAACCACAAAGCTTTCTACATATTGCAGCAAACTAGTCTAGATGGCAAATGTTATAAAACAAGATTTTTTATGGTATCATACTGAAAGATATATTTCAACCTCAATATATATTCCTTAAGGCAACAAAACTATAATAAAAGGTATAATAATAACCTACCAAGCTCTTTCTTCCACTGGGCTTTTTTTGCTTCCAACAAACTTCTGTCACGTTCTCTTTCCCCCAGAGTACTGAATATGTCAGCTGGTTTCCATACATTCTCTCTAAACAACACAAAAAATAACAGAAATCTTGTATGTTTCTATACAAGCTACTCCATAAATATTAAGTAATAAACTTAAATAGCTCTCAGTCTTCAGAGTAAATATTTCACATGAAAGTCAAGGAAAAGCAAAACCATTTTCACAAGATGACTCCACAATAACAGATATGAGTTACATACATGGCAATTTTCTGCTCATACTGCTTAGATGTCTCTTGATTTTTATTTAAAACAGATTTATTTTCATCCAGGACAGATGAAAGAGCCTCAGTTTTTTGGAATACTCCCATAATTTTCTCATCCTCTGGCTGACTGGAAATATTGTTTAAACGTAGACTGCCCTGACCTAGGAGGTAAAAATGGACGTTTTAAAATGAACGCTAAAATTGCATGTATTACAATACCTTATTTTGGCATACTACTACACACTTTAAAAACACTGCCTTACACGTTACTAAAGTAATCACCTCTCACAACAGTCTTTCAGTGGGTATTATGATTCCCTTTTGTCAAAAAAGGAAACTGAGCCCAGAGGTTAAATGGTCCAGAGATACAGCCATTGCCATGTAACCTCTCGTGTCTAATAAGAAAACAAACAAGCAACAAAAAAAAAACTTCCATTTACTCTTGCTAACGATATTTTTACAAATAATATAAAACACCAATCACAACTTAAAGAATGCAAATAGGTTTATGAAAAACTCATTACCTTGTCCTTATTTTTCTCATTTAGCTGGGAAACCAATGAAAACTCATTATGGACCACTGTCTCTACGCCTCTGTTCTATCTATTCCAAAGGTTTTATACAGGCTCCTATGCTTGGCTCAGAAATTGTTCTAAGTCTTCTTAATGTGCTAGTTTTCGCAATGAGGAGAAAGTGTATTTAATATGCAGATCATTATATGATCAAATTCTGCCTTCAACTTTGTTGATATTGATATTCTCTCTCATTATACGTAGTAAGTTTTTATTTTTTGTTCTCTAGTCTACAATTCTAGCTTTAAAGACCCAGCTCCCTCATTTTACAAAGAATAATCTAGACCAAGACAAGATAAATTACTCCAACTTGAAGACTTTGGGAATGTATAGAAGCTACCTGGTCCCCAAATCAGTTGTGGGGCCTCTTCCTGGTGACTGTTAATGTTATTTTTATTTATCTCATTACAGCCTAACAAAATTTTAATGACATTTCTACTCATGTTAATTCCTTAGCTCAAAGCTAAAGAAATCAGAAGGCTTTTAAAAACAATACAATGCCCTAATGAAACAGAAAACATGTAACATTCTTCTACTCCTTCCAAGTCTGTATTTTTTTTTTTTAAGATTTTATTTATTTATTTGACACACAGAGAGACAGCGAGAGAGGGAATAGAAGCAGGGGGAGTGGGAGAGGGAGACGCAGACCCCCCACAGAGCAGGGAGCCCGAAGCGGGGCTTGATCCCAGGACCCTGGGATCATGACCTGAGCCGAAGGCAGATGCTTAACGACTGAGCCACCCAGGCGCCCCCCAAGTCTGTATTTTATATTGGTTAAAAAGATAGTGCTGCCAATCCTTAGCATGGATTAAGGGTCAGGAAAAGTACAATGCAGGGGCCAGGAAAATAATCCTTTTCAGCAACTCAAGTCAAATATTCAAAGTAAGGTTCCTTCAATTTCACTAGAAATACTATAGTGATTTTTTAGAGCATTTTATATAATTATTTTTAATGTAAGTAAAGCTTTCTACATTTTGGAATAAGTACAACATCTTTTTGTACTAAGATCTTTAGAGTCCACAGAACTGGGTTTCTTAAGGCTATGGTACCATGACTGTAATATTCTGAGCATAAACCTTAAAATATGGCATATTATAGCTATAAAAGTAATTTTGCACAAGAATGTTCTCTAAAAGAGTATCTTAAAAGATCGTTACATGGTAAATTAGAATTTCAGAGGCACAGTTATGTAAAATCCAAAGAATGAAAAATTCTAAAACACATACTGGTAAAATTAATATTAAAAATTAAAACTTCAGAAAAACCTTACTTGTTTCTTCCTTTCCATTTTCAATCAGGGAAATACATTTATTTCCTTGGTTCACAGTCATCAAAATCTGTTGTAGTTGGTCTTGTGTTAGACACACCAAACTGCTCTTCATATTTTCAGCTGTAATGTGTTTTTTGCAAAGCTTCTGTTTAGCTACTACAGATGTATTTTTGGTGTTTCTAGCCTTCTGTATACTGGGGGTTGCAGGTGAAATCTCTTTCTGGACATAAAGACAATCTTTATCTACATACTGCTTGCATAAATCCTTAGTGGGTGAAAAAGTCATACTATTTTTTTCACCTTTTGCCAGTGAAGTTTCTGAACCCATTCTCTTCTTTTGCAAAAGTTTTCCACTCCTGATACAAGTATTTTGGGTTGATTTTAGAATGTATCCAGTTTGTTTTGTTCTTAAAGGACATTTTGCAATCTTGGTCTTATTTCCCATCTGTTAAAACACCAAAAGTTTATTCTTTATAACAACCCATGAAAAATCATCAATTATCTTTACATAATCTGTGATGTTAGGCCTCTAAATTTTTTTCCATTTTGCTGTTAAGACACTATATCCATGAGACACTAACATATAACCTTTGTAAATCTTCACTTGAAAGCTTCATTAACTGGAAATTATTTTATTTCAACATAATCAATACAGAACTTTTATTTTAGTTGTTACAGGACATCTCCCTCTACTCCAGCTTTGAATCTGTCATGATTCTATCACTCAGACCATCTCTTTTCTTTATAGGTATCTATAGACCTGAGTTAGTGATGTAGATTAGTTATTTCTTAAATAACTTATGGGTCAACATCCTTCTAACATAACTATTTTTTTTTTTTTTTGACACAGAGAGAGAGACAGCGAGAGAGGGAACACAAGCAGGGGCAGTGGGAGAGGGAGAAGCAGGCTTCCCGCAGAGCAGGGAGCCTGACGTGGGGCTCGATCCCAGGACCCTGAGATCATGACCTGAGCGACTGCCTTAGTTGCTTAACCAACTGAACCACCCAGGTGCCCCACATAACTCCTATCTTAATTATTAGTGCTTTCATATCCACATAGATCATTCTTTCAATTCTCTGGCCTGTCATTTCCTTGAACTCTGTTCCTATATTCTTGTCCTCCATGCTACCTCAGCTACTCATTCTCGTAGTGATAGCTTATACTAACCTTGTAACTACTCCGAACTACAATCCCTCCATAATCTGTTTCAAGCATGGCACAATGACCAACACCCAATTTTCCCCAGCTCACTTCCTTGCATATCCCAATTCTGATAATTCTTTAACTCAGCTGGGATCTACAATCTATTTATCCTACCACCTTCCTCTTGTCCTTTACCAATCTTAAATTCCACGATTAACCACAAACCACCACCATCTTGTATTCTCAACTGCTCTGCTCTGACATATACACTTTGCAAATCCCCAGACTGGTAAAATCTAACTCTTCACCTACTCTGTGCCTGCACTCAGGAAGAAAAACACAAAGCCACAATATCTAGTTTCACCTTAAATACATAACCCAAAACAACAAATGGGCCCTTCACGCTACTCAGCAGTTAAGACATTGTGCAAATTCATTTACTCTCTCACTTTTAACAATTTCAACTTTCTCCTCTTTCCCAAAACTAACACTTTCTCTTTCATACTTATTCTCAGCTGAAGATCTTGATCACTACTGCACTGAAAATCTTACAGAGAAGCATTCAGAAAAAACTTCCAAGTTTCTACCACTAAATCTGTACAAGCATCAGTACTCATACAAACTGCTTATACTCCTGTTATTTGCAGATATCGCCATAACCCTTTCTTTCTCCGGGATCTCTCCCTAGCAATTCTTTGCTTTCTCCTCAATCAACTGTTTCTTTCCTGCTAGATCACATCTTTAACGTCTTTAAAAATACATGATCCCACTTTCTCATCTCCCACAATCCCATTCCAGCCAAGCTCTCACCCACACTCCACCAAAACTGCTCATCAAGGTCATTTTAATAACTTTTTATGCTGCAAATTCAGTGACTGATCCTTAGATCACCTTACCAGACCACCTTATTAGCAGCATGTGACACAGTTGATTATTCCTCCCATTTTGAATCACATTCTCTATTTCATTTCCTGCGGACTCCACAATTCTGGTTCTTGCCGTTCCTTCTCAGTCTTCACTGGCTCCGTTTCCCCTAGACCTCTTAAAGTTGCTTGGTCCCAGGATCTCTTAGCTCTAACTTACCTCATTCACTTGCTAATTTCACCTACCCTTGTGGTTCTAAGCATTATCCATATGCTAATGACTCCCAAACTTGTCTCCAGGATGGACCTCTCCTCCCCTAACTTGAGGTTCCACTGAACTATCCAAACACTTCCACTGGGTTATTAATAGCCATTTAAAACAGCATGCCCAAAACCAAACTCTTGATATCCCACATGCCCCTAAAATAACTTCCTCCAGTTTTTCCCATCTCAGCTACCCATGACAAAAATTTTGGTATTATCGACTATTCTCCCATATGCCACACTTGTCATCAAACCTTGTTTTGCTCCATCTTCAAAATATATCCTAAATCTGACCGCTCCTGAACAACTCTCTTACCATCCCTCTACTCCAAGACATTAGCTCTTGCCTGAATTACTGAAAAGCCTTCGGATTTTCTTGCTTCTGCCCTTGCTCCCCGGTCTGTTCTCAACACAGCAGCCACAGTGAGTACCTTAATAGGTTAATTCAGATCATGTCACTTTCTTCAAAAGCTTCTAATGGTTTCCTATCTTACTTAGGAGGAAAAACTGAACTTCATACTATGACCAAAAAAGACCTAATGATCTGTGCACTCTTCACACTTTATCCCCTTATCTGATCTCTCTGATCTCATTTTCTATCTTAGCCTCCAGTCACATGGGCTTCTCCGCTATTCCTAAACCTCCAGTTTTAGGCCTTAGCACTAGTCTATCCCTCTTAACTGGGACATTCTTTCTTCAGATTCTACATGATGCACTCACCTCCTTCAAATCTTTGCTCCAACATCACTAACTCAGTAAGGTTTTCTCTGACCACCCTATTTAAAATTGTAGGTTTCCTGTTCTTTTTTTTGGGTGGGGGAAGGTTGTAGCAGGTTTCCTGTTCTACCCTCATACTCCCACCTACCTAGCATTCCCTTTTCCAAAGACTGCTGTGCCCCTGAAGTAACTGTGCTTCTTCCCTTTCTCTTTTTCTCTATAGCACTTTTCATCTTGTAACATCCTATATTTATTTTGCTAAATGTATGCCCATTTAACCCCTTTTCCAATGTAAACTCCCTAGGGCAGAAACGTTTGTATACTTTGTCCAGTACAGAATAGTGAGTGGAACAGAGTAGGTGTTCAGTAAATTTTTGATTATCCTCAACTATACTATTTTAAAAACTGAATTATCTCTCTCTCCCGTATTTGTTCCCCCTTCCAGAATATCCCATCTCTGTGGCACTGTTCTAATCTCTCAGACCAGTAAGCATGGAGTCATCTTTAACTTTATCCTCCTTCACGGTCTTCTTTAGCTTATGCACAAGTTATTGGTCATTTCTTCCTTCCAAATATCTTTTTCTCACCATTTACATGATGATAAGCCTAAATTTAGGTTTTCATTACCACACTACTAGATTACAGCCTGCCTATCTCGTATCTTTCCCCTATTTAATCCACTGTACATTTCCGCAAACCCAATTAAACTAAAATAATTCAGTGGTTGTTCAATCAAAATTAACTGCTTTTTATGTGCTCAGCAATATGGAAAAGTGCTAGAGGTAAAGATTAATAAGATACTTGCTGTCAAAGAGTGAGGTAGATACCACATGACTTTCACCCAGCTTATATCCCAACTGTCTTTCAGTAACTTACAAAATATATAACCACACTTTGACCAATACCAATCCTGTTTCACCCTACTTTTCAAAATGTACCTATACTATCAGCCACAAGATCTGTTTATCATCTCATCTACATCCTATTTGCTCCTGGCTTTAGGCTTTTGATAATACCAACAGCACAATGTAAAATGCCTTTCTACCAACCCAACTTGTGGCGATTTTTAAAAAGTTTTTTAAAGATTTATTTATTTTAGAGGGGGAAGGGAGGGACTGAGGGGAAGGGAGAAAGAGAATCTCAAGCAGACTCTGCAATGAGTGCAGAGCGTGATGTAGGGCTCAACCTCACAACCCTGAGGTCACGACCCAAGCCAAAACCAAGAGTGGGATGCTCAACGGACTGTGCGACCCAGGCGCCCCTGAGGCTATTTTTAATGTAACTAATTCTCTAAGTGAGAGGTGGCAACCGCAAATACCTACTGTAAATTAGGCTTGGTAGGAACTGGAATGAGCTGAAGAGCATTTTTCTATCTAAAGGAGGCAGCCACCATTAAGAACCAGCCTACACCGCCAAACAGGAATCTCAGTCTACTTGCTAGATTCCCCAGTATTTCGAGAACCAAAAATGCCAGATTCTACATTAAATTTTCCTATTTTTAGATACTGACAGTTCACTCTAGTTTATGAAAGCCACTATGTGTGGATTAGGCAAATTATCAGCAGATTGCACGTAGCTTATACTGCTAAGTCCTACCACCTCAGTCTCTAACTACGATGTCACCTTTGACTCATGACTGGCCTTTTCTGGGTCACTGATAGTTGAGCATTTCACATCTCTAACCAGATGCTCAAACTGCTAAGAAGTGCAGTGCATACCATTACATATCTTGGAAGTCTTTCATTTCTGTCCCCTTTTTTCCATTTCACTAACCACTAAACATGTTCAGGAACTCCTAAGACTCTTCCTGAACTGTAACTGGCCCCTAACTGGTCTCCCCATTATAATCTGTCCTTCACCAAGCTGTCCAAAGCCCTTTCCTTCAATACAAATTATACTGTATGGACTCTGCTTTTCAAAAATTTTCTAATGCTCCCTACACACAAATCAAGGAAGTTCAAACTCTGCGAGTATACATTTAAACTCTTTAAGACTGTAACCCCCCCCTCCAAGCTTTATGTTCTACACTTTCCCAAGATACACACTATTCCCCAAATGCAAATTATGCTACTTTGGTGTCTTGCCCACTATTTTCTGAGCTTAGAATACACTCCCATACCTCCTTACCTATAAATAACTGCCTCATCTTTTAAGTTCTAATTAAAATGTCACCTTTTACGAAGCTTTCCCTGGTCTCCTCGAGCCACAAAGAGCTGCTCTTTGCAGTGTTCTCTGCCTTTTATAATCCTACCATGACATACATTATAGTCTACTTGTATTGTAGTTATTTACCTGACTGATATTATCACTTCCAGAAAACAAGGCCTAGGTTTTACTCATTTTTTTCCTCTGTCATAGAAGAAATATAGCCAAGAACGGCACTCCACTAAAATTTTACAGCTTTAATAAATCCTTGTTAAATAGAAACCTAATTGGAGCTCTAATTTGAGAATTATCCTGCTACATTCCACTTACAAAAGAAAAAAATATACCAAAAAAATCTTCTAAAAATATTTCATAAAAAGGGGAGAGGAGGCAATGATCTGGCATGAGGTCCATATACATTCAGCTCAATTCTGATTACTTTTTTGGGGGCGGGGGAGGCAGAAGGAGAGGGAGAATCCCAAGCAGGCTCCACACACAGCTCGGAGCTCAAAGCAAGGCTTGATCTCACAACCCTGAGATGATGACCTGAACCAAAATCAAGAGTGGGATGCTTAATTGACTGAGCCACCCAGGCGGCCCCTATTTTTGTAGCTAAACGGCAGGAAAAAAAACAATGAATGGAGCCAGCAAAAAATCATGACCTACCAAATAAATATTCAATTATATTCAGGTTACTTAATAAGAAAAAGCAATCTAGCCCAAATAATTCCCCAAGTGTTTACTGGATCAGGTAAATTTTAATAGATCAAAGAAGAGTCTTCATGTCATAAACATTTTTATGTAGCAAGTTGCTCTTTTAACTAGTTTTAATTCTACCAATATTTTTCATAATATAAACAAAGTCCAATGCATTTGTTTAATATTGGCTGAGTTTGGGCACCTGGGTGGCTCAGTCGTTAAGTGGCTGCCTTCGGCTCAGGTCATGATCCCAGGGTCCTGGGATCGAGTCCCACATCAGGCTCCCTGCTCAGGGGGGGCCTACTTCTCCCTCTCCCACTCCCCCTGCTTCTGTTCCTGCTCTTGCTGTCTGTCTCTGTCAAATAAATAAATAAAATCTTTAAAAGAAAAAAAAATAATAATACTGGCTGAGTTTATCATTTATATGGAGCCAGGATCCCAAGGCTAGACTCAGAGAAAATAACATTTTAAATTATAAAATATGCTACCTAACACTAATATAGTATACACCCTTTAGTGTGTCACTACTCTGATTCTCACATGTAGAAATTCCTGTGAAAAAAAATTTTTTAATGTTTTATATTTCAACTAACCTGTGAGACAATTTTAAGCATAAGAGTTTGGAATTATAAATTATTCATGACAATGAATCATTAATATTTCTCTCATTTCTCCTCCTTATAGGTAACCATCTTTACTTCATATTCCTTACCACAGATTTAAAAAAACGCAGAAGGGATTTAGAAAAAATTAAGAAAGTACTCTGCCCACACATGTGTTAAACCTGATGATGATAAGAGTTCAGTTGTGTCTAAAGAGAACACTATGAGGATGATAGTAATTCAACCTGTGAGGAAGGGGAAAACCAGAACTGTAGGTAGGTGTTGTAGTCACTCAGGAACTTCTCCCAGTAGAAAAAGAAAAGAACTATGAAAAAAGAATTCACCAAAAACTTATGGAAATGAGAATCCAACATATAGCTGCAGAACTGACATTTGGGAGATTAAAAAGCAGATTTAAGCAAAAAAAGACAAGCACTACTGTTTTTGCTTTTTTGTCTTCTGTAAAGAGCAAAGAAAGAAATGAGGACGATCTCAGCAACCCCTATAAATATGGGAAGAGAAGCTGCTTAAAATAAAATCAATATAGAAGGGAGACTTAAGTTGCACCAGTGTTTTTTTTCCAGCTTTATTAAGGTATAATTGACAATTAAAAATTGTATATATTTAAGGTGTACAACTTGATCTGATATATGCATACACTGTGAAACAGTCACCACAATCAAGTGAATTAACATATCCATCACCTCACATAGTTACCATCATCAGTATTCTGAAGTCCCCAAAGCAAGAGGAATAAAACCAAACAATTTGCCCTAAGACAGTAAATAATTTAAGATCAATATCGGCTGAGACACATTCTGGAAAAAAGAATCCTAGAATAAAATATTTCTAGACTGCTAGTAGAATCTTGTAATGATTCTATCAAAAGTCCAAAACTAGTAATTTTGTTATAGGCATGAAAGGAGACCACCATATTAAATTGGTTAAAAAGACAATGAAATGTCTTCACAAATGTGGTGACTAAAGCAAATCCATTAAAGACATCAACAGAAGGGGAAAAAGGTGAAAGAGAACAGAGGCCAGGGGAATATGGAAATCAACTATGACAAGCAGCTTTTTATCTAAGATCTCAAAAAGGGGTGCATTATTTGTTAATGTGACTCAAATATAATAATTAGTTGCAATATTTTAATAGAGCAGGACCTGGGGTGCCTGGGTGGCACAGTTAGGCCTCCGACTCTTGGTTTCGGATCAGGTCATGATCTTAGGGTCGTGAGATCGAACCTAGAGACTCATGTGGGGCTCTGCACTCAGTGTGGAGACTGCTAACAGTCCCCTCTCCCTCCTCACCGCCCCCTAAAATAAATTTAAAAATCTTAAAAAAAAAAAAAATAGTGCAGGACCAGGAAAAAATATACAATTTGTATTGTGACTAAAAAAAAACACACAAGGTATATAGCTATATACCCTATTTAGAAAGAAAGAACTTTTATAGGTAGCATGTGGAATTACTCTGATTATCATCACCCATTTATGCTGGATACTCAAGCAACTTCACCTTGATTAAACCTGGAAAAAATAGCAAAGTCATCAAGGGCTCAGAGGTGAAAGGTGCCACATCAACCAAACTGAGCTCTATTCAAGATACACAAAGACTTTAAGATGCTACAAAGACAAAAGAGGGCTACAGTAAATTGTGGGAGAGTTGAAATTTCTGCTGATAGTTATCTAAAAATGGAAAAAGAAATAAGGAACAAGAGAAGTAGGGTATCAGAAAGTTGTTAAAGTGGTAAAGGCATTTTGGGTTCCTGATAATAATTTAAAAGGAAAATTATCATTAAGCTCAAGTATGATCTTTTAAAGGAGAAAGCAAAATGCATATATGAATTTGGTGAATCAAATACACAATTTTGGTGTGGGAAAATGGAATTTGAGAATGAAAAGAAAAATATTTTCATTTTAAAGTGTGAATATATATTCTTAAAGATCTCAGGAACTGCACTGTCCAGCATAGTAACTACTAAATTTACATTAAAAATTAAATAAAATTAAAAATTCACTTCCTTAGTCACACTAGCCACATTTTAAGTGCTCAATAACTACACATGACCAGTGACTGGCTACCATCTTGGATAACACTGATCTTAGAACATTTCCCTCATCACAAATAGATTTATTGGACAGCACTGATGTAGAGAACTTTTTAAACTGAAAAATTATGATCCTATTTCTGTGAAAGGACCAGCCTGAAAGCAAGAGAACAATAACTTCTCATCATTATCCCATACCCCTTATAATATATTGACAGGAATTATTTTCAAACCACATTTTACATTCAAAAAACAGGTCAAGTCATTTGGCTTACCTTCACAGAATTTTTTGATTTACATTCTACAAAAGAAAACAATAATTACTGAACTATCAAACAAAAACATACTAAGGCAGTCACAAAGGAAAATTTTAATTAGCATTTTTTTAAGAAGATACTTAGTAGAAATATTAACCCCCAACGCATTAACTTTAGGCCCTGTTTGGGTGTTCTAACTTTTACAGTGTAGTGCAAGTATTTCTATTTCATTTCTGTTTATTTTCCATGTATCATACGACCTCACTGATATGAGGAATTCTTAATCTCAGGAAACAAACTGAGGGTTGCTGGAGTGGTGGGGGGTGGGAGGGATGGGGTGGCTGGGTGATAAGACATTGGGGAGGGTATGTGCTATGGTGAGCGCTGTGAATTGTGCAAAACTGTTGAATCACAGGTCTGTACTTCTGAAACAAATAATGCAACATATGTTACGAAAAAAAAAAGAAGATAGCAGGAGGGGAAGAATGAAGGGGAGTAAGTCGGAGGGGGAGACGAACCATGAGAGACGATGGACTCTGAAAAACAAACTAAGGTTTCAGAGGGGAGGGGGGTGGGGGGATGGGTTAGCCCGGTGATGGGTATTAAAGAGGGCACATTCTGCGTGGAGCACTGGGTGTTATGCACAAACAATGAATCATGGAACACTACATCAAAAACTAATGATGTAATGTATGGTGATTAACGTAACAATAAAAAATTATTTAAAAAAAAGATAAAACTATAAACAGATCAGAGAAAAAGAAAATAATGTGAAAAAGAGGACTACCAAATATACGGAGTTTAAAACTAATACTAAAAATGACTTTAGCAACTGTGGGCTTATTACAGATTTAATTTTCTAGAACAACACACTTTACATGCACAGAATATAATCACATAGATTTCACCTAAATTATTCATTAGGCAACATATTAAACATGAAATATACTGAGCCATTAAATTTTATGAATAAATACTGACAGTGGTAAGCAGTGATGTAATCTGACTTTACTTGGCTAAAAATAAATCTGAGAAAGCCAAAAAACAGCTTTTTGTAAAATATTTAAATATTACTCTATTACAAGCAAAAAGTATATTAAACTCGTATAAATTTTACGTAGGAATTTAAAAGTTAACATTTTAGATTTCTGGTAACACAGCATACCATATGGAGACAATATTAACTTGGTTTTTCCATCCAACAATTCAGTTTCAAGCTTTAAACCATCTCTGCAAAATAAAAGAAAGTTGTCATTTTTAAGAAGCAGCAACATTTTAAATAGAAAATGAAATGCTTATTTGAATCTTGGAAGTAAATATGTCCTTTTGAATTTATACAGGAATCTTGTAAATAGTAAGCCATTCTTTTAATAAAAAACGTTTTCCAATCTGAGATAAAACTAAACACTAGAAGGAGAAAATTCCTGAAACTTTCCAATAATGCAAAGAATTTGTTATCTTTACCATGAACTTCATTTTCTTACTGGTAAGCAATAAATCCAATCATCACAGCATTATTTAACCCTTACAACTCTAGACTGGAAAAAAAAATGCTGTTACCAAAACTCCCCACCTAAGTTAAAGGAGCAAAACATATTTAACTATTTATTAGTCTCTCATAATTATCTCATGACTAACACATTCTATGCATGATACAGCGTTAATTTGAAAGTGAACTATAACATTGCCACCAGGATTAACTTTTTGAGCACAGCGACAGTTTGTTACTATCACAACAATAGATCTGTAATAAACTTTGGCCACTCTAATTTATCTGTGCATGTCCAATGCAGGAGCACAAAGTAACAGCAGGCACTGCCAAGGAAACTTGAACATAAGATCCTAATAAAAACTCCACTGAAAACAAAAATAGTCCACATTTAATCAGTTTCCTAAGGGGAGGGAAGGTGTGTGTCATTAAACATCAATAGGGCCGTAAGTGCTGTCCAAGAGACAAAATTAAATCCAGCAGGCTGGACAAGGAAGAGAAAGGTTGGGAAAGGTCGGACAGGGAACAACGAAATTTGCAGTGTTGCTCAGTAGAGGCCATCAAAATACCCCAACTTAATTTATCAAGGTAAAGCACTGGAAAAAATGGGTTTTAGAGGTTTCCCTGGGGCAGGGTCAGAACAGTTCACGTTTACGTCGGTGAAACTGAACAAACAAAAGAATGAACCCGAAAAGTACGTCTGTTCAGCATTATTGCACCGTAAACTTCTTCAGGGGCAGATGTCTTATTTTTCTCTCTCCACATTCTAGGACACAAAATTAATTTGCTAAATGATGTGCAGCAGTCTGAATTTGGTGACTTTTCTTAAAATATTAAACTTCCCAGTGATGAAAACCCTGCAACAGTCATTTTTTATTCAACCACTACTTAATGAGGGTCTATTAGGGGCCAAGCACTAGCAATGCATCGATTCCTTAACACCCGGTTCCTAGCATTACGAGCGTTAAACTCATCTGGGCGCTCACAGCCTACAAAGACGCCAAAGCCAGAGGCGCTAAGGATGGGGGCCTGGGCCAGGATTTCTCCCGGGAAGCCGCTAAGCTTGATCTCTCCATCTGCCCTCCCCGCTTATCGCCTCTTCTCCCTCTCCACCCTGAGGTCAATGAGAGGGCGGAAAGGAGGTCCCGAGCAGATTTACCCCGAGTTAGAATGTGGAAAAGCGACGGCGGCTGCAGCAAAGGCGGTCCCGGGCCCCTCGCCCCACTCCGCCTCAGGGAGCTGGGCGCAAGCTGGGAAGGTGTTCCACGAAGGGCTCCAAGGGCCAACCCAGCTTTATCCCGTCTTCGCTAAAGCCCACCGTTCTCGGCCCAGCTTACCCCAGGTTCATGGCCGGACCTCTCGCTCTCTCCCCAGGACGCGCAACCCGGGTGTACGCCCTTTGCCGCCGCCGCTCAACAAGCGTTGCGCCGATTGGACACAGTGCTACCCGCGAGCTGGGAGAACGGACCAATCAAGGTTGGGCGTGCTGGCGGGTGCGCTCAGCGGGGGCGAGGCTGCAGGGGCGACCGCACCCGGTAGCCCGGCCTGAGGCTCCCCGCCCTGACACTTGGGCACTGCGGGCCTTGGTACCTCGGAGTTGTAGCACCCCGAGTTCACTCGGAGCTCTCAGAGAAGTGCCTCAGGTCAGGTGTAGGTGGCAAAACTATGGAGAAGCAAAAAGCATAAACCTTTTAGGAAATGAACGCTTTCCATATTTTATATTTGCAAGAGAGGTTATTTGGGTATAAAATAAGTCGGAGGGCAGGGTGTTGGGGAGAGAGACTCCTAGGCCGCGTACAGGATTTGTCTTGTCTCTGGCTTTGACCTCCGCATGAGGCCGGGTACGTTATAACTTTTTATTAAATTGTAACAATCCACAAGTACTCAATACATTTAGCTCTTTTGTGCCGTACAGAGATCTAAGCACTTTGTCTATTATTGGAGCTTTACAACATTATCCCCGAGGCACAGAGAGGTTAAGCAGCTTGTCCACGGACTATCAAACAATTTAACCCCAGAAGCCGGTGTCCCGAGCTAGTGTTTTATGAGTCTAACGCCGGCTTATTCTTAAAAATCTAAATTTAAACGTCATTTTCTCCAAGAACCTCCTCTGGAATCCACTAGTGGGTGAATCAGGAACCCATTCTCTGCGCGCTCCCCCCATCCCTGCTCTTCTGATCCCCTTACTAATGCATTTAAGATCGTGTGTCAGAGTGAGCTTCAGAGGGGCAGGCAGTTGGTGTCTTACATACCTCCGTAGCTGCAGCGTCTGACACTGAACAGTGTAGACAGTAAATAATTGTGAAATGAAAGAACAGCAAGAATTAAAAATGCCAACAACTTTATTAAGTTTGACGGAATGCTGTTTCATGATGAGGATTATAATGCAATTACTAAAAGTTCAGTTTTTTTCATCTGTCTCCTCATAATATTTTTACAAAGTAGTAATGAATGAGGCACCTTGAATTCTCAGGGTACATTCTGTGAAAACTCAGAGATCTTTTAATATTCCTTTATGTACCTGGTCTGTGGAAGATATACTTAAATAAACATTTGTTAATTAACTTGACTGAATAAATGAACATGTACCAATGTACATTTGATCCCTTGCTTTTGTGTGTGTGTATTTTTTAAGGAATACTTATCTATGTGTAGGGAAAAAAAGGCAAAAAGATTTAAACCAACATGTTAACAGGAGTATTTCTGGGAGATAACAGTGGTGTGACTTTCAAAATGTTACTTTGTTTCTAACTTTTATTATTATGAAAACATTTAAATAAAAAATGACAGAAGGGTACAATAAACACCTATATATCTGCCACCTAGATTTGATGATTGTTAAAATTTTGCCACATATGCTTTCTCTCTCTTGCTCTCTCTCTACACACATGTGGGCAGGCACACGCATACTCTGCCCCCCACCACACACCTTTTTTTGCATCACTCTTTGCAAGTTACAGATGTTATAACACTTTGCCCTTAAACACTAAAGCATATATCTCCTAGGAACAGGAAGTTCTCTTCTATAACCATGGCACTATTATTGTACCTAAGAAAATTAGCAATTTCATGATAACATCTAATGTTCTGCCTGTATTTTAATAGTCCTCACTTACCCTAAGAATATCTTCGAGTGATTTTTATTTAGAAAGCTAGAGTCAACCAAGGAGTACACATTACATTTGGTTGTTAAATATAATCTCTCTCTCTCCCCCACCCAGAATAACAACATAGCATATTTATTAGTAAATTCTTAGCAAATCTCTACATCTTTTATTTTTAATTGTGGAAATATAATAAAATTTCCCATTTTAACCATCTTCAAGTGTACAATTTGGTGGCACAATGTTGTACAACTATCACCAATATCTATTCCCAAAACTTTTTATCACCCCAAATAGAAACTCTGTACTCATTAAGCAATAACTCCCCATTTGTCCCTCCCTGCAACCCCCTGGTAACCTCTAATCTCATCTCTTTTTTTTTTTTAAAGATTTTATTTATTTATTCATGAGAGACAGAGGAGGGGGGGAGAGAGAGAGAGAGAGAAGCAGAGGGAGAAGCAGGCTCCCAAGGAGCAGGGAGCCCGATGCGGGACTTGATCCCAGGACCCTGGGATCATGACCTGAGCCGAAGGCAGACGCTTAACCATCTGAGCCACCCAGACGCCCTAATCTCATTTCTGTCTCTATGAATTTGCCTATTCTAGATACTTCATATAAATGGATTCATACTGATATAGGCTGGCCAGGTCCAAGGACCCACATGGGGTCCCACAGAACCAGCCAAGAGGGTCCTTGGCTTTGCAAAGGATAGAAATCAAATGTGAGCCAAGAGGAAGTGAGAGCAGAGTTTATTGAATAGTAAAGGAAAGGAGAGTCTCATCTTCACTTCTGGTCTGGTGTATGTGTCTTCTCAAGGCATCCAGGGACTGGTCAAAACAAGGACAAGTGCTCAGGCGTCCTCTGTAAGTCACTTATGCCCTAGAGCCAGGGGTCTTGGCATTAAGGTGTCTGGTGTCAGTGGTCTTGGAAAACATACAAAACAACTTCAACCTTGCTGGGTCACTCCTTAGATGTTTCTATTGTGCTAGAAGACTCCAAAGAAATCATTAACTCCTTGACCTTTACAAGGAGGACATACATTAAGGCATGTGTAAGGCGGGGGTGCAGGTCTTAGCAAGAGTAGAGGCAGCAAAAAAAAGCAGTCCTTTATGAGGTCCCTTTAGCTTCCCTATCTCAACACAATATTTGTCCTTTTGTGTCTGGCTTCTTTCACTTAGCATAATGTTTTCAAGATTCACCCATGTTGTAGTATGCATTGGTCCTTCATTCCCTTTTATGGCGAAATAACATTCCATTGTATGTACATGCCACAGTTTGTTTACCCATCCTTCTGTTGATGACACTTGGGTTGTTTCCAAGTTTGGGCTATTGTGAATAATGAACATTGGTTACAGGTATCTGTTTGAATCCCTATGTTTAGTCAGTATGTGTGTATGTGTGTGTATGTGTGCACACAGACAGAAGAAAGAGAATTATAAGGAAGTGGCCCACTCAATTATGGAAGCTAGTAAGTTCCATGGTCTGCAAGCTGGAGACCTGGGGAAGCCACTGATATAGTTCCAATCTGAGTCCAAAGGCCTGAGAACTAGGAGAGGCCATGGTGTAAATCCAAGTCAGAGGGCAGAAGACTGATGTCTCAAGGAATGGAGCAGAGATCCAATTTTCCATTGCTTTCCCTTTTTGTTCCACCTAGGCCCTCAACAGATTGGTTGATGCCCAGCCACACTAGGGAGGCCCATGTGCTTTATTTAGTCTACCAATACAAATGCTAATCTCATCCAGACACACCCTGGCAAATACACCCAGAAATAATGTTTAAGCAAACATCTGGGCACCCTGTGGCCCTGTCAAGTCGACACAGAAAATTCACCATCACACTCTGTTTTTAATTCTTTTGAGTTTCTACCTAGATATGGAATTACTTGGTCATATGGTATTTCTATCTTTAGCTTTTTGAGACATTGGCAAACTTTTCCACAGCAGTTGCCCCATTTTACATTTTTACCAGCAATGTATTCCAATTTCTCCACATCTTCACCAACACTTATTTTCCATTGTTGTTTGTTTTTAATTATAGCCACCCTAGTAGATTCCCTGGTGCTCACAGTTTCTGCTGGTTTTGTTTGTTTGTTTCTAGAGAGGCACCTAGCACTTGGAGCTGCCAGCTCCATCATTTTGCTGATGTCATTGCTGTCTACTCCCTTTTAATGTAGACCAGTCGCCCCACCTGAGGAATGGCTCACAATCAGGCTTTGTCTGATTATTTCCTCAGGATGCTGTTTAACTCTTTCTTCTATCCTCTATCTTTCTTGTAATGGGCAAGTTAATCATTTTTGATAGGAATACTTTAAGGTGATAATCTGTGGTTCATAGTGCAGCACATTAGATTGTCCTGTTACTGTGGCCACGTTTGAAGACTTTAGGTGCTGGCTGCCCCGTGTTTCAATTGAAAATGTCCATTTTCCCTTTTGAAATTAGTAAATAATCTGGGTGGCTGATAGTTTGGTACTGTGTGGATATCTTGTTCCCTAACACCCCTTCACCTAACAGTGAGAGGTGATCTTTATTGTACATGTTCTGTATTTTTCAACAAGTCATATTTTGCATGGTTTTATACCCTCTTGCATAACACTCTTCTGCACAACCGAGATGGGCTATAACTTGCCCATGATCTTAACTGCTGCACTGTTCTTCTCTCTTTTATAGAACTAGTCTCCTTCAATTCTAGTTTTCTAGTTAAACAATTAAGAAATGTTTCCTTAAAGATGACATCAGGTTTTGAAAATGTAGTTTTTCAAAGATGACAGTAGGTTTTACCAAAGAAAGGAATGCTTATAAGTCATTTGTTTGTCTGATTCTCCTGAATTTAACTTTCAATTAAGCCAAATTTAAGGGCACTGCAGAGACCCTCCTAACATAATAAAAGGTATACATCTTGCTTATCCAAAAGTAAACAAATATGGTTATGATTATTTGAACTGTTTATATCTGTAGAAAAGCATCAGAAAAAAATCTCCATGCTCTTACTTTGCTCAGTCATCTAAATCCCAAATGGGTAAATCATTTCCATTTCTTCGTATACTGTATTTTATTTTTTCTTTTTTTAAGGATTTATTTACTTATTTGAGAGGGGGTAGAAGGGCAGAGGGAGAGGGAAAGAGAGAATCTCAAGCAGACTCCCCACTGAGCACAGACCCTAACATGGGGCTCAATTTCACAATTTCACAACCCATGAGATCACGACCTGAACCGAAATCTACAGTCAGATGTTTGACCGACTGTGCCACCCAGGTGCCCCTATATTTTATTTCTGTATCAGTAAACACTTTTTGTCATGGAAACTGCT